AGGCTATGCACACACACCCACACACACACTCAAGGTGCACAGCAGAACAGACAGAAGCATGTGCTTTCACTAAAAATCCTTCCCACATGGTGGTGCAGAGATATAACTGTGTTTATTTGTGCGTTAGAAGATAATCCTTGGTAAACAATCACAAATGAACCTTTTAATTGTCTGATTCAGTTTGCTGATGCTGCTTGCATTCCTCATTCACTCTCTAACTCTCTCTCTCACGTGGACCTCCAACCCCCCATTCTGCCTTGTCCCATTTATACAAGACAGGCCAAACTCACCTCGGAAAAAATATTGCCTCTCATTGTGGCATTTTGGAGGTTCAACATTGACCCACCAATCAACTTTATTCACCAAGTATGCAAGCACACAATGAATAAATAAAATAAATAAATAAAACAAAATCCAGTACTTAAATTAATTTAGCAAGGAAAATAAAAAGAGGACATGGACAGCTGCATAAAAGAGAGAATAATGCAATAAAATATATAAACTGAAAAGCACAATAAGTTACTCAGATAAACTGTAATAAAAAAATAAGGATAATCACTTTTTTTGACCAAGTATGTTACACACACAAGGAATTTGTTTCAGTACAGAACAGAGGCAGCCATCTGCGACACCAACTGACCCTGATGGCTCTAACCATCGGGGGCAACTTTGGGGTTCGGTGTCTTGTCCAAGGAAACTTCGATATATGGACTGCAGGGAACATTGTTCGAACCTGTGACCCTCCGGCTGGGAGATGACCGCGCTACCTACTGAACCACAGTCACCACCAAAAATAAATAAAATAAGAGCAATTCATAAAATGATTTCAACCCACCCCATGCCAGAAGTATACATTTTAGTTCGCAGTTTGCCTGTCAAGGAAACACATCTACGGAGGATGGAATCACAAATGCATAGCATAAACCCCTGTCCCACCTGGAATATCCAGACACATACTGTATGTCCGGATGCGCTTCACTAATCTCAGCTCCATTTTCAATATGGTAAGACCCCATAAGCTGATACATAAACTCAGAAACCTGGGATTAAAAAAACACAATACATCTCTTCACTAAAATGAATATTGGTTTTATGATAGTGTAACAAATTAATTTCTATGAAGCATATAAAGAAATGCCTGTGGTAAAACTGAACACCCTCAGACAAGTGGTAGCAACTCTGTGTATGACTCCTCCCAACACATCTCTCTTGCCAAGAGCAAAAATGACATTCTTTTTAGTATTCTTGTCTGATTTCTAGGTGTTTGTGAGAAAGTGCAACCATCAGGAGACTTATTGGCAACCAATGTTTGATCTTAAAGTCAACCAAATATCTAAAAATAGAAATAAAAAACACAAAAAGAGTTTGAATATCTGGAAGGAAGAAGCAAAAAATAGAGGAAGAAAACAATGCATAAAAACTTCACCGCTCCATTGTTTAATAATCACTCAGATTAGTTTCACCTGCTCCCGATTGTTTGCACCTGTTTTCATCACATTATAAGCAGCCTTCCCCCACTAGACACTTGCCAGATTGTTCTAGACTCCAGCTCTGACTCTCCAGCATTATTTTGGTTTTGGTGTTTCTTGTGTTTGACCCGGATTATACAGAGGAAGGACTAGGTTCATTACTGAACATGCCAATGATTTAAGTGGCAGGAGCCATGGGCCACTGAGTGGGTGGCCTGAAATATGCTGAACAACTGCTCAACTTCTGCAAAGATGGGAAACTGACTGAGAATGAACTGAGACATGTCCTTATGAAGAAGCTGAGGCCTGGCCAGATTTCCATGTGACTGAGAATGAACTGAGACATGTCCTTATAAAGAGGCTGAAGCCTGGCCAGTTTTCCAACATGAAACATGGGTTCAAAGACACTGGTGAGAACAGATGCATGAAACATCCTAAGTAGGAACATGAGGACAATGGCCCATACCAACAGTGGCCTGGAAGAG